AAAAAAATACTCATGTAGATGCTCATTTCTAGAACAAAAGGGAATGCGATTTTGACAATATCAGAAGGTTAATTAAGAAGTCTGCTAGCAATGATAAAGCCAGCACATTTTCAGTTCAGAATGACAGAACTCAAGACACGGGCATAGCTAATGTTTGCTCTATAATGCTCTGATAAGTCACAGAATCTAAGAGAGGAGAGCTGGTATCTATGGTAAACGCAGGGTCAAGAGCTAGAATTGGCTGACTAGGAAGGACATTTCAGTTGATTTGCTTTCCAGTTAGGTAAAGAAGCCTATAGCCCAGACTAAGCTGCAGTGTTGTTATTTGTGTGGCTTGAATCCAGTAATTGGATTCAGAACTAGAATTGCTTCCTTCTGGGAATTTACAAATGTTCAGGATGCATTTTAAGTGTAGTTTAGAAGGTGGTTACTTGGGGGTGGGGGGCATGAGGGGACTTGAGAATCGAGGAGCTGGAAGGGTCTGTAGGCATTCTTTACTTTGGCCTGTCACCAATATGGAGACCCCTCCCCATCATGGTGGGTTGTCATCCGTTTTCTTCTTGAAGTCCTAAGTTGAAACGGAAGTCACAGCTTCACAAGATAGCCTGTTACACTTGGGAACAGCTCTACTGCTTTTGTGCCCTATCTCACTGAAAAAAACAGGGAAATGATCTAAAAACATATGTTTAAGAAAAATAGATGAGGGTATTTCAAAGTTTGTAGAAAAATGGAATTAAAGGATAATATGAATCCTTCTATGAACTTTTTGAACACATACACACACGTGTACATTTTAGTGAACAGCACTTTAGTGCTCTTAATCCTGTTCGAGATGCCAATTGTAAAGCTACTCGGCCATGACTATGCCAGTTGTGGTGCTCTTTTACCTGCTGGTAATCCTGCACCAACTAGGCCGATTGTCGAGCTAAGGCTGGGTCTGGAGCCCACAGTTTCCCCTCAAGCCCATTCACAAACTGGGCCACAAACCCTTCACATGCCAGGCTGGGTCCCCAGACCCCTTCACGCAGGTCTATGAGCTAGGTAACTGGCCAAAAGGTTCTTGGAATCCGTAGGTTTGGAAAATCATGGCCGCACCAGGCAGATGCCCAAGCAGACGCCCGCCTGCCTGCTTCACTAAAATTCCTTTCTCTCTCTCTCTCTGAAAAACACAAGGATAGCAACAAAACTAAAAAGATACACAGGCGCACATGCGCACTAACTCCCACACACACAATTTGCTTACAAAGGATGCTGAACCACACCCAACTGGACCTAGGTGAGGGCCGGGACCAAACTATTTTCCCAACAAGCACACATCTATGTACTTCTGTAGAGAGGCCTAGGGTTTTGATACCTGATAGGAGTTGGATTCCTGAAGCAGTCATTAAATGTGTTGGAAATGATGCTTTGTGCCTAGCTGTTTCAGCACATTTGGAGACCAGCAGTATTACCTGTTGATTAGTAGACAGTAATGTGGCTGTATTGCACCCCCAGTGATTAGTCTCAGAAACAAATAGCATGTTAACAAATAGTCAAGGAATGTTTGAGATGTTCTTGAGAAAACCAAAAACTTGATTTAATGGCCTTAAATTCCACGGACATCCCACTGGGCTTATAGAGCTCTGTGCCGAGTTGGTACCCAATGTATATAGAAATGTAAATTGACCAATGTCAATTTAAACGTTAAATCAAAACCATTCCAAATTTGTTGCAGATTTTTAATGAGACCTGAAAAATAAGATTCATTATTTTTTATTCAACCATAAGGAAACTTTTCAACCTAATAATGCATAAGGCATTTCTGAGGCCCCAAGTGGAAATGCTGGGTCTAGAGAGACCTTTATGAAATGGAATGGGTTAAAGCACCTTCCACCGGAGGAGCGTGTGGCATTTGAAAAGAGATTGCCTCCCAGTTTCTGATTCAGTAAGTCTGGGGTGAGGCCCAAGAATTTGCATTTCCACCCAGCTCCCGGGTGATGCTGACGCTGGGCCTGGGGTCTGCTCTTTAAGAGCCACTCCCTACGAGCACCCACAGAGAAGCACCAAGAGCGAGAGCGTAACTAGACCACCCACTTCCCAGACTGCAATCTGAGCCCGCCTCACCCTGGGGAGAACGAACATGAGGGTGGGAAGAGAAGAGGCCCTCCACCAGGGGCAGCTCCTTTTTTCCCCTCTCAGCCTGGGAAGGCAGAGCTGCTTATGGAGTTTGATGCTTAGACGCATTAATTGTGATACCTTACTTTGCCTAAGCAGTGATGAAATAATTGAAGGCATCATAGCAAGAAGTTAAACCCTAGGGAGGCTATTAACAATTTAGCATTTCCAGTTCATGTGGGAATGTCGATTCTATTTACCAAGGAGAATATTATGGATGCGTTTAGTGAAAGGAGCAGCCGAATCAGCCAGGGTCCCCTCCTGGTTCTGCTTTGACCCTCTTCCTGGAGGAAGATAAATGGGAGTCTGAGCCTCTCTCACAAAGACAGGGCGCTTTTTTAAAAAGTAAATAGCCTGTTAGGCTGGTGGAAATGGCTGGTTTCTTCTGGGCTGGCTAATTCTGCAGGGGATGCAGAGGCAGAGGTGAAATTGTGGGGCAAGGCCAGGAGGCTCAGGCAGCAGAGTGGGCATGTTTAACGATTATGAAAGCAAGTCAGCCCATTTGGACCTTCTGAAAGCCCCACTCGACACTCCTGGACTGGGATCTCCCCCAGAGGTTGCTAAGTGCTGCCTAATGCATCAGCAGAAAGATAGCCCTCTTTATTGTCACTTTTTGGGCAGTGAAGACCAAGGCAGGAACACCAGAGGGGAGGACATAGATGCCGCACGAAAGACCACTGGACTGGGAGTCCAGAAACTGATTCTTTTCTTCACTTTGGATTGACCATCCACATAGCCATGGGCAAGTCACTGAATTTCTGAAGGCCATGGTTTCCCCATCTGTAAAATAAAGGCATAGACTATGATCGCTCCAGATCTTTTACAGCTCAAAACACAGAAACAAAAACAAACCATGATGCCAGGTACTCAGATACAGGTTGATGAGCGTTCACTTTGCCACGTGGGCTGGCACTACAGAGAACTGGTCCAGGCTGCTGCTCTGCAGCTCTGCTTGTTTCAGGCTAACGGGTTTGTAGACAAGTTTGTCAACCAGAGAATCATGTGAATGGCTAAGCCTGGATTAGGTGAATGGTTCTCCCATTTCTTGCTGGAGGCCTGTTGAAGCACTTCAGAGTCTCTTCCAACAGTAAGTGGAAGGGAATTTGACATTAGACTCTCCCCATGAAGGGTCCGAGTACCTTGTTGCTTTTATGCTGGGGTCACAGAGATACCTTGGTTGCATGGTTTTCCTAAGAAAAGGATTTCAGTTTTGGCAACAAACCACTTATGAAATGGCTGAAGCAAGAACAAGCGCAAAAATGGATTCTCAGATTCCTCATTGAAAAATACCATGACTAAATCCGTAGTTAATTTTACCCCACACTCTCAATCCATTTCACATAGGCAGATGTAGACAGGCTTGTTTTTTAAGTCCGGTCTTTCCACTTTTGTGGGTTCATTTTGTGGTTTTCATTTTGTTTTGGGTCAGAGAGGAGAAAATGCCTCTGTAGATAGTCTCAGGCTAGGTTGTGCCTCCACAGCGGCCTCCCTTCGCAGGCCTGGCAACAACAGATTTACACCGTCTGCGTAAGAGCTTTCTCCAGAAATGCACCTTTGTTACCCACCAGGCTCCTTGTGAAAAGAAACCTTGTCCCAACTGCCCTGGCTGTACTTGGCAATGTGGTCTACATGAGTAGAACAGGACGTATTTTACACTTGAGACCTGCTGTCCTAGAGAATGACAACACTTTTAAGTGCTCTCAGTATTAAGCTAATGGAAAAACATACTCTGCTTACTCACCATCAAAGTCTGTTTTTGTTCTCTCCTGCCTTCCCCAATCGTCACAAACTCCAAACCTCTAGAACACATGGAGCTTCTGCTGCTCCATCTATCCTCCACTCTCTCTCAAAGTTGACCTCTCCACGGTTAGGTAGCTAAAGGTGGACATGGAAAAGCTAGGAGCTTACCGCAGAAACCATAAAACCCCAAGGTTGCACAAACCAAATATTTCCTTTCTCACGAACATCTCAGTGCTTGAAATGCATGGTTGACTGCTAGCTTATCTTTACTAGTGTGAGAAGTCACTTTTCCTCACCAGCTTGTAACAAAGCGTGTAGAATGGTGAAGGTGGCCGCAGTGTCTGGGTGCTGTTATTATTGGAATGCCGGTTCTTTCCTTGTCAGGATTCCTCACCCTCCAGGTGGGGACTCGGCCAAAGTTATTTTAACCCCAGAAGTTTAATCTGTATTCTCCACTGCTTTGAACTTGGAGAAGCTATGTCTATACAGGGTGCCCCACTGATAGAATTCTAGAGTGTGGCCCAACCAAGTCCTGAAATGCCTAAGGTTTCTTATCATTGAAGGTCCTGTCATAAGTGTACCATGAGAAAGGTGCGGGCAGTGGGATGGGGAAGGCAGAGTGGGACTCTGTCCGGTAAAAAATGGTTCACAAATCCACTCATTTTCTGTTAGCATATTGTTTTTTGCTTGGGCTTGTCTATAAAGTAAAGTTAACGTATGCATGTAAACCAGCCTTGCAGATAAATCCCCCATTTTTTTCAGCCTACCCATAGTATTACCAATTTTCCCCTTGCTGTTTACACATCTTTTACCATAAGACCATAATCAAATAAATAAACAAATCAATCAGAGAAACTCCCCCACCCTGTACCTAAAGCAAACCTCTTCCTTTTTGTCAAAAAAGAAAGACCAAAATTGAAAACAAAACAAAAACTGTGGGAAGTAACTCACCACTGTTCTTTGTTTCAGGCTTTGGGCCTGTTAACTATCTGCAAGGCTGTTGTAATGATGTTAATCTATTTTAATGGAATTGAAATGTGATATCCTGTGGTTTACGATGCACATTGTTTATAGCTTTAGTGCTTGATTTTGGGTTTCTTTCACAGATAAACTTCTGCACTGGAGGGGCCTCTCCTCCCCACGTTCTGCACATGGAGCCCTAATCCCCACGCCTGGGATGAGTGCAGAATATGCCCCGCAGGGTATTTGTAAGTTGAGCATTATTTCTTCTACAAATGTCCGTGTGTGTAGAGATGAGAGTTTCTGGAAATTACCTTTACTGTTTAAGTACTGAAGGGAGTTACTTCCAAAATAGATTGGCATATGTATTATTCCATTACTCATTTGCCTCCCACTCCCTCACTCCAGTGAGCCCCGAGGTGACTTTTTCTCCCCCGTTCTTTCCTTCCTCATAGAAGGCATGGAGCTGACAGCAGCTCGTCCCTGCGGGTCTTCTCCCCAGGACTTGTCTGGCTCCATGGCAGGTGACTGGATACGCCTGTGTGTTCAGAGCCCATTTTATTGTTGGACATTCACTCCCACGGCCTCATTTAGGACGTTGAATTTATTCCCTGGCATACATCTTTAACAGAGGCCAGAACCAAAAGGAGTCAGTTTAGAGTTACTCTAGAGTTACTCTAATGCATGTTATTTATGCATTTACGTGTGTATTTAAACATGATATATTTTTATATATAGGTGGTAAATTATATATGTGCCTCTATATGCATTTATGTGTATACACATACACATAATTTCTATTTATTTTTCTATTTTTAGAGAAAAATATGCAGCATTATGGTTAAAATGTAAGGATTCCGCTACCCCCTCCCCCCATTTACTTGTTCAAGCTCACTTTTATAGCGGGGACTTTATATGAAATTTAGATTTGTACATTTATAAAAATGTTTTTTGAAAGACGTTATTTTAGAAAGTAATACAGTTTGCTTCTCTGTGTAGGAACACATGGTATGAATCATGCATGGCTAAAATGTTGGGGGGGAGGGGTTGATTCCACTCCAAACACAAAAAAAGCAGGTTTAAGGAAAAAAGGGGTGTGACGACTACTTTTTACTTTGAAAGTAAATGAAAAATAACCTGTTGTGCAAAGAAAAAAAGAAAGGGCAAGGGTAATGGAAAGGAGAATAACAAAGAGCAAGGTGCATGAGTGAAGGCTACTACTGGGGCTGTTTTTTAGAGGGGAGGGAAACTAGACTTTCCCACCTTGTGAATCTGTCTGAAGAGCAGGGCCTGCACCCTGAGACTGAATTCAGAGCCAGCTGTTTATTTTTGTTAACTCCTAGGTAATCCTAGGTAACAAAGAGTTATTGTGTGAGTTTCACAAGCCCTTGGGTCCTGAGGGCTGGGTGGTGTAGGGGTTAAATTAAAAGCACCTCATCTGCCCTCCCTCCTCCCCAACCAAGCTGGGCCCAAGCCTGGGTTAGGTCACCCATTACAAAGGGTTTAGGGGGTTGGACCCAGGCTTTCGAGTTCCTACATGCTGGCTGGGTGGGGAGAACTCTCCTTGTGTTGCTGGGGGTGCCTGGGGCCTGCTCTTGGCTGTGGGAACAGAGCCACTCTTGGAGGGAAGGGAGAGAAGGGAGCAGGGCAGTTGAGAGCAGGGTGGAGTTGAGAGGCCAAGGGCAGCTGGCCTGGGAAACAGTTTAGTTCTCTCTCTTCAGCTTGGTCTTCCTGAGGGCAGGGAGTTTGGTTTGATGGGTGGGAAAGTTGGAGCCTGATGTGGAACCCCTGTCCTCTCCCCCCTTCCCAAAAAGGGAGGGTACATAGTTTGCTGGTACCTGTGCCAGCAGGACCAGTTTAGGAGTGACCAGAACAAGGTATGTGGAAATGGGTTGTGGGGTTCCAGAGAGCTCTAGAACAAAGCTGACACCCACGCCCCTCCACTGCATTAACCAGCTGCCCTTGGCTTTCAGCTCACTTAGCACTTACCTTGTCACCTTCTCTGCTTGTGACTTAAAATCGCCCTCTCCTGTCTCTCTAACCAGAGCCTCCTTTCCGCCTGGGGTAAGGCCTGGATTCGGACCTTCCTCTGGAAGCCATTCTGGGCGTGTAATGTGGTTAGTCATTAACCTCAGTAATTAATCACGCCTGGTAGTAATGAAAACTCACATTTATGTTGGACCTGATAGTTTACAGAGGGCTTTTATATACTTCTGTCATTTGAGCCTTACACTTGCAATTCTTAAAGGTATTGTGTTTATGCTCATTTTACAGATAGGAATCCTAAGGTTCAGAGAAATGAAGTGCCATCCCTGAGTCACAAGCTAGTAAATAACAGAGCAGGGGTCCAGCCTCAGACCTCCTTGTTCTTCTAAATCTTGAGGCTTAGCTCACATGACTTTTTAGCATTGGTGATACACTCGAAATGGGGGTCATTCCTTCCCATAAAATAAAATGAAATAAAATAAAAGCCAGTAGGGGGGCTACTAGCTCTTTTTAACCCTTTTGATGCTTTGAGTTCCTATGCTTGCAGGCCAGGTCTCAGTTTATTGCTCTAAATCAAAACAATCCCTGTGAATGCCCAATGAGGCTCTCAAATTGAGAAGTTGATTTTCATCAGAGTAAATGAAGAATATTATTATATTTTACAAGTCAATAAATCAATGTAGCCCTAATTTTGCCATGCAGAAAATCAATTCTGGTCTTTCTAAGCCATCAAAGATGTTATGAACAAAGTAATTTCACAAATTATGGCAAGTAACACATTTATTGATGACTGCAGTTTAGGAATTTAGAATCTGTGAGCACTGTAATATAATATGGTGCACCAGCACAAGCTGAGTGAAATACAGATTATATGGTGAAATTGTAATGCATCATTTGCTATTAGTGGACTGGTAATAATTACCAGTTTCAAAGCAGCCCTTTCCATGTAATCTTTAGTCGCAATCGTAACAGCCCTTCTCATTGACATTATGATTACACTAGCTGCCCTCATGATCTAGAATATCTAGTTGATGGGAATACTAAAATGCGATAGTGAAAACTGTATGTTGTGTGCTCATTATAAGATAAAATGCCATTTTCTCTGACCTGATACATGAGAGAGGGGAGGATAACACCACAGTGTTAACATACTGTAGCACGATCACATAGCTGGCTCTGAAAAAAAATTTAGGAAGCTCAGGGCAGCAAAATAAAATGGACTTTTTTTTTTGAAAGGATACAAATGAGATCCTTGGTGTAGTGCTGAATGCCTCAGATTTCGGCATTTACCAATGGCTGCATTCATGGCACGAGTGAAACCAGCAGCACTAATTATGGGTCCAGGCCTGGTTTCAATAGAAATATGACTTTAAGGCATTTGGGAGTGATGAAAGTGTTAAGGACTTGCTTCAGTTGACAAAGCTCCTTTTTTACTTACCCAATTCAGATTGTTAGGCTAAATGTATGATAATAACCTAGAATCCTAGAGAGGCAAGGGAGAAAGCCACGGAGGGTCACAGTAGTTGGAAACAGGTAGTTTTCTTCTTGCCTATTCGGGACCCAAATCATTGTTCAACAACAACAAAAAATTTATGAAAATACTCTAAATGAAGCTTTTTATTTCCCTCTTATGACAGGAGGCAAACAAAAATAGGCAGATAATGTGATACTAATGCAGCATTTTCTTTCTGCCTCCCTCCCCGCCCCCCACATTAGACAAATGTTGAAACCTAATTTTGGTATCTTACCATCTAATCTTGTAAAAGAGATTTACCCAGGAGTGGGATATATTGAGTGAGATTATAAATGCATTGTAAAGTAAATTACAAGGTCAGGGCAGGAGTCCATTATTTAGACAAGTGCTTGAGCGAGGCTGGCTTGTTTTGGAGTATGAGTGTTTGGAGCTCCTGAGAAGACCCTGCCAGTTTTTCTTTCTGACTTGCTAAATGGAGGAATCATATAATTGATTAATTCCTCGTTTCCACTTTTAGCTCCATGGTGAGTTTTGTCCCTTTAAAAAAAGTTACTGACAAATACTAGCTGTGGGCCAAAGGAACTCTTCTATAGCCCCTCTTAAAAGCTTGTTATTTCTGTTATATTTTAAGCCCTGTCTTTTTTGGCATCCCTGAGAAGTTACCTATTTTTCTCATCCTTGTCCTTTGTCCACCATCACTTGTGCCCTTTTTAATGCTACAGTTGACTGGTAAACTGTTGATTAGTTATTCCCTTTAGACACACACGTATGTATATTTATTTATTTTAAATTTAGCTATCTCCAAAAATCAATGATTTAGTGAAGTCAAGCTGGCCCCTCTTTGCCAAAGTGGCATTTACTACTCTTGGGTTCTTTTCAGCGAGAGAGCAATAATGTGACTTAAGCAGAGCCCTCTCCAGACGGCTTGGCTACTGGCCAAAGAGTTGACTGGCTGAACTGTGTCTTTCTGTTTCTTTCTCAACTGGAGCTGAGTCTCAGCCGAGGGCGCAGGATGGTGTATAATTTGGTGCACGTTGTTAGCCTCTCAAAATAATGAGGAGGAGGATAGTGTAGCATTTCTCAGCCTGCTGCCTGTCTTGGTGCTGGTTGCTGTAACTGTTGGTTAAACTAGGATGCTGTGTCTGCTCACGTTGACACCAGCCACTCCTCCCAGCTTCTCTAGACTTGCATTTGTTTGACTGGGGGACAACCCCTAAAGATTTGATACAGCCTGTCAGGTAAATCTGAAGTAAATTTCTTTTGGGATTTTCTCAACATCCCTTGAGATGAAAATGGGTGTCCCCATGAGGTGTTGCAGAACCAAAATTGGGACTCACTGACCCTCCCACAAGGTGGGATATGAGAATGTTGCTAGTCTCTAGTCCCTGGAAGTGTCTTATGAGTACCTTCTCATTTGAGCAATTTCAACAATTAGTGTGTTTCAGGCTAAGCTTAAAAGCATTTTTAGAGCCATAGAGAATTACAGGGAGTTGACTTTCTCCTGTTTCTGATATCTCTATGAAATGACTGCCTATTTAGAATGTTCACCAGGCACCCAAGAGGGAGCAGAATCATAGGATTTAGAAAATAAAAAAGTTTCCCTTAGATTACCTTGCCCAAATCCCTCATTTAAACAGATGAGGAAATGGAGGCACACAGAAAGGGAATGGATTTCCCCAAACCACAGCCAATGAGACTGGAAAGTTCAGAAGATGAGGTCTCTAGAAGGTAGGAATCCTCGTACTCAAGCTTGACGAGGTCAGGATTTTTTTCTGCTTTGGAGACTGGATATAAAATTCTCAGAACTAAAATTAATGGCAGGAAGCTGATTGGACAGATATTGTTTGGGCACCAACCACCAGGTCTGCAAGGCACCATCTAGGCACAGGGGTAGTCAGTGAGGGCTTAGGCCTTGGGGTTGAGGGGTGAGGGAAGGGAAGGCAGGAGGTGGAACATAAATAAGCAATTGCTGATGCCCGACTCGGTGATTAAACATTGATGTTGGTGTTGTATTATTTTGCAGGTAAAGATGAGCCCAGCAGCTACACATGTACAACTTGCAAACAGCCATTCACCAGTGCATGGTTTCTCTTGCAACACGCACAGAACACTCATGGATTAAGAATCTACTTAGAAAGCGAACACGGAAGTCCCCTGACCCCGCGGGTTGGTATCCCTTCAGGACTAGGTGCAGAATGTCCTTCCCAGCCACCTCTCCATGGGATTCATATTGCAGACAATAACCCCTTTAACCTGCTAAGAATACCAGGATCAGTATCGAGAGAGGCTTCCGGCCTGGCAGAAGGGCGCTTTCCACCCACTCCCCCCCTGTTTAGTCCGCCACCGAGACATCACTTGGACCCCCACCGCATAGAGCGCCTGGGGGCGGAAGAGATGGCCCTGGCCACCCATCACCCGAGTGCCTTTGACAGGGTGCTGCGGTTGAATCCAATGGCTATGGAGCCTCCCGCCATGGATTTCTCTAGGAGACTTAGAGAGCTGGCAGGGAACACGTCTAGCCCACCGCTGTCCCCAGGCCGGCCCAGCCCTATGCAAAGGTTACTGCAACCATTCCAGCCAGGTAGCAAGCCGCCCTTCCTGGCGACGCCCCCCCTCCCTCCTCTGCAATCCGCCCCTCCTCCCTCCCAGCCCCCGGTCAAGTCCAAGTCATGCGAGTTCTGCGGCAAGACGTTCAAATTTCAGAGCAACCTGGTGGTGCACCGGCGCAGCCACACGGGCGAGAAGCCCTACAAATGCAACCTGTGCGACCACGCGTGCACGCAGGCCAGCAAGCTGAAGCGCCACATGAAGACGCACATGCACAAGTCGTCCCCCATGACGGTCAAGTCCGACGACGGTCTCTCCACCGCCAGCTCCCCGGAACCCGGCACCAGCGACCTGGTGGGCAGCGCCAGCAGCGCGCTCAAGTCCGTGGTGGCCAAGTTCAAGAGCGAGAACGACCCCAACCTGATCCCGGAGAACGGGGACGAGGAGGAAGAGGAGGACGACGAGGAAGAGGAAGAAGAGGAGGAAGAGGAGGAGGAGGAGCTGACGGAGAGCGAGAGGGTGGACTACGGCTTCGGGCTGAGCCTGGAGGCGGCGCGCCACCACGAGAACAGCTCGCGGGGCGCGGTGGTGGGCGTGGGCGACGAGGGCCGCGCCCTGCCCGACGTCATGCAGGGCATGGTGCTCAGCTCCATGCAGCACTTCAGCGAGGCCTTCCACCAGGTCCTGGGCGAGAAGCATAAGCGCGGCCACCTGGCCGAGGCTGAGGGCCACAGGGACACTTGCGACGAAGACTCGGTGGCCGGCGAGTCGGACCGCATAGACGATGGCACTGTTAACGGCCGCGGCTGCTCCCCGGGCGAGTCGGCCTCGGGGGGCCTGTCCAAAAAGCTGCTGCTGGGCAGCCCCAGCTCGCTGAGCCCCTTCTCCAAGCGCATCAAGCTCGAGAAGGAGTTCGACCTGCCCCCGGCCGCGATGCCCAACACGGAGAACGTGTACTCACAGTGGCTCGCCGGCTATGCAGCCTCCAGGCAGCTCAAAGATCCCTTCCTTAGCTTCGGAGACTCCAGACAATCGCCTTTTGCCTCCTCATCGGAGCACTCCTCGGAGAACGGGAGCTTGCGCTTCTCCACGCCGCCCGGGGAGCTGGACGGAGGGATCTCGGGGCGCAGCGGCACGGGAAGTGGAGGGAGCACGCCCCATATTAGTGGTCCGGGCCCGGGCAGGCCCAGCTCAAAAGAGGGCAGACGCAGCGACACTTGTGAGTACTGTGGGAAGGTCTTCAAGAACTGTAGCAATCTCACTGTCCACAGGAGAAGCCACACGGGCGAAAGGCCTTATAAATGCGAGCTGTGCAACTATGCCTGTGCCCAGAGTAGCAAGCTCACCAGGCACATGAAAACGCATGGCCAGGTGGGGAAGGACGTTTACAAATGTGAAATTTGTAAGATGCCTTTTAGCGTGTACAGTACCCTGGAGAAACACATGAAAAAATGGCACAGTGATCGAGTGTTGAATAATGATATAAAAACTGAATAGAGGTATATTAATACCCTTCCCTCGCTCCCACCTGACACCCCCTTTTTTCACCACCACCCCTTCCTTCCCCATGGCCCTCCAGCCCCACTCCCTGTAGGATTTTTTTTCTAGGCCCATGTGATTTAAACAAACAGACAAACAAACAGAAGTAACGGAAGCTAAGAACATGAGAGTGCTTGTCACCAGCACACCTGGTTTTTTTTCTTTTTCTTTTTTCTTTTTCTTTCTTTTTTTAAAATTTTTCCTTTATGTTCTCACCGTTTGAATGCATGATCTGTATGGGGCAATACTATTGCATTTTACGCAAACTTTGAGCCTTTCTCTTGTGCAATAATTTACATGTTGTGTATGTTTTTTTTGTTTTTTTTTGTTTTTTTTTTAAACTTAGACAGCATGTATGGTATGTTATGGCTATTTTAAATTGTCCCTAATTGGTTGCTGAGCAAAAATGTTGCTGTTTCCAGTTCCGTTCTGAGAGAAAAAGAGAGAGAGAGAGAAAAAGACCATGCTGCATACATTCTGTAATACATATCATGTACAGTTTTATTTTATAACATAAGGAAGAAAAACAGTCTTTGTTTTAACCCTCTATAGACAGAATAGATAGCACTGAAAAAGAAAAACTCTATGAGCTAATTGTCTGTCTCTAAAGGGTTAAATGTATCAATTGGAGAGGGAAAAAAGGCCTTGAATTGACAAATTAACAGAAAAACAACAAGTTTATTCTCTCATTTGGTTTTAAAATATGAGTGCCTTGGATCTATTAAAACCACATGGATGGTTCTTTCTACTTGTTATAAACTTGTAGCTTAATTCAGCATTGGGTGAGATAATAAACCTTAGGACCTATAGCATTTAATTCTATATTGTATTTCTCACAACGGTGGCTACCTAAAAATATGACCCAGTATGTCCTAGTTAATCATCATTTTCCCTTTAGTTTAATTTTGTTAACAAAACTGATTATACCAGTATAAAAGCTACTTTGCTCCTGGTGAGAGCTTAAAAGAAATGGGCTATGGTGCCCAAGGTTTTATTTTTTTTTAAATGATTAAATTGAATGTGTAATGTGCAAAAGCCCTAGAACACAATTAAATACATTAGTAAGGAGTTCATTTGATGACGATAGTTGTTTTAAATAATGCCTTTAAAAAAAATTCTGGCACCAAAAGAAATAGATCCAGATCCACTTGGTTGTCAAATGGACAATCAAATAATAATCTTTAAGACCTTGTATACCACATTAAAAAGAAGAGGCTGACAGTAAGTTTGACAGAGGGGAACAGAGGGGAAAAAATATGTGATTTATTAGCACAACGTGGTACTATTTGCCATTTTTAACTAGAACAGGCATATAAGCTAATATTGATACAATGATGATTAACTATGAATTTCTTAAGACTTGCATTTAAATGTGACATTCTTAAAAAAAGAAGAGAAAGAGTTTTAAGAGTAGCAGTATGTCTGTGCTCCCTAAAAGTTGTACTTCATTTCTTTTCCATACACTGTGTGCTATTTGTGTTAACATGGAAGAGGATTCATTGTCTTTATTTTATTTTTTTAATTTTTTCTTTTTTATTAAGCTAGCATCTGCCCCAGTTGGTGTTCAAATAGCACTTGACTCTGCCTGTGATATCTGTATCTTTTCTCTAATCAGAGATACAGAGGTTGAGTATAAAATAAACCTGCTCAGATAGGACAATTAAGTGCACTGTACAATTTTCCCAGTTTACAGGTCTATACTTAAGGGAAAAGTTGCAAGAATGCTGAAAAAAAATTGAACACAATCTCATTGATGAGCATATTTAAAAAAAAAACTAAAAAAAACTTTGCCAGCCATTTACTTGACTATTGAGCTTACTTGGACGCAACATTGCAAGCGCTGTGAATGGAAACAGAATACACTTAACATAGAAATGAATGATTGCTTTCGCTTCTACAGTGCAAGGATTTTTTTGTACAAAACTTTTTAAAATATAAATGTTAAGAAAAAATTTTTTAAAAAAACACTTCATTATGTTTAGGGGGAACTGCATTTTAGGGTTCCATTGTCTTGGTGGTGTTACAAGACTTGTTATCCATTTAAAAATGGTAGTGGAAATTCTATGCCTTGGATACACACCGCTCTTCAGGTTGTAAAAAAACATACATTGGGGAAAGGTTTAAGATTATATAGTACTTAAATATAGGAAAATGCACACTCATGTTGATTCCTATGCTAAAACACATTTATGGTCTTTTTTCTGTATTTCTAGAATGGTATTTGAATTAAATGTTCATCTAGTGTTAGGCACTATAGTATTTATATTGAAGCTTGTATTTTTAACTGTTGCTTGTTCTCTTAAAAGGTATCAATGTACCTTTTTTGGTAGTGGAAAAAAAAAAAAAAGACAGGCTGCCACAGTATATTTTTTTAATTTGGCAGGATAATATAGTGCAAATTATTTGTATGCTTAAAAAAAAAAAAAAAAAAAAAAGAGAGAAACAAAAGTGTGACATTGTACAGATGAGAAGCCATATAATGGCAGTTTGGGGGAGCCTGCTAGAATGTCACACGGATGGCTGTCATAGGGGTTGTACATATCCTTTTTTGTTCCTTTTTCCTGCTGCCATACTGTATGCAGTACTGCAAGCTAATAACGTTGGTTTGTTATGTAGTGTGCTTTTTGTCCCTTTCCTTCTATCACCCTACATTCCAGCATCTTACCTTCATATGCAGTAAAAGAAAGAAAGGAAAAAAAAAAAAGAAAAAAAAAAAAAAAAAAAAAAAAAAAAAACCAATGTTTTGCAGTTTTTTTCATTGCCAAAAACTAAATGGTGCTTTATATTTAGATTGGAAAGAATTTCATATGCAAAGCATATTAAAGAGAAAGCCCGCTTTAGTCAATACTTTTTTGTAAATGGCAATGCAGAATATTTTGTTATTGGCCTTTTCTATTCCTGTAATGAAAGCTGTTTGTCGTAACTTGAAATTTTATCTTTTACTATGGGAGTCACTATTTATTATTGCTTATGTGCCCTGTTCAAAACAGAGGCACTTAATTTGATCTTTTATTTTTCTTTGTTTTTATTTTTTTTTATTTGGATGACCAAAGGTCATTACAACCTGGCTTTTTATTGTATTTGTTTCTGGTCTTTGTTAAGTTCTATTGGAAAAACCACTGTCTGTGTTTTTTTGGCAGTTGTCTGCATTAACCTGTTCATACACCCATTTTGTCCCTTTATTGAAAAAAATAAAAAAAATTAAAGTACACAATGTAAGCTTCTTGTGTCCTCATTTGACACACTCTGTAAATTACTTTCAAGAAAATAACAGGTTTTAAGAGAAGGCCAGTCAGTCTTTTTCAGGATTATTTCTATGGGCATTTTGATGCGTGTATTATACCCTAAAGGAACATAAAGTACTTACTATATTAAAATAGACATCTCTAATCATGGAAATAGTTTTTAGGCTTTACAGTTCTAGAGTACTTTTCAAGAAACGAAAGGTGTTTGCAGTCTGACGTTAAAAACTTTTGCTCCATCTCTTGGCAGAAATCCATTCAGATATAGGTGAAAAAGTTGCTGGTAATAGCATCTTAAACTTTTATTTCCTTTGGATTTTTTGCCGTTCTTATCTGAAAGTTCTTTTCTATTCTCCCATCCTTGCCCTATCTTAGAACATAATGTAAAAAAAGGTTTTTTTAAAAAAATAATTTCTTTAGTTTCCACATAAGAGTCTTTCCTCATAACAAAAATAAACTCACTCCTTAAATCGAAAAATCCAGAAACAGAGGAATCAGGTTAAAAAAATAAAGGTGTGTGGGGGGAGGGAGAGAAAAGAAAGCAGCAACCAGGGGTTTAGCCAGACATAGCCAACTCTCTGGAATCAGCCACTGATTTCCTGAGATGCGTGGTGGTTTGCCCTGTGATCCCAGGAGCCCTGAAGCTACAGATCATATTAGGTGTTTTTATAGGGTCTTCCTGGCTGATAGCAAATGAGGGCGGGAATACCCTTCAGTTATCTTTTGACCAACCAACAGATTTATGAAATGTCTTTGAAAAGTAAGTTAGGTCTATTTTTAAGATCTTTCCTTAGAAATCTATGTTATCAGTTTTACAAATACTGCATGTTGCAGCATCTATTTGCTTTATTAAAACACATACCTCTGTGATACTGTCTCCCTGTTCCCAGTGTAGATGAATGGATACGACATTGTTCTTATTTTTGTAACAACCAAAACAAAAGCTGTTCTGTTGTCTTCTTGTGGTAGCATTTTTTGTTGCTCAGTTCTTTATGCCCAAGTGCCTGTGAAGTGGCCTTTTATGTAATGCCTTTTATCTGAGGCAAGAATAGTTTTATCTTTCCAAAGTATAGAGAAAGTACGTATTTGTTTAAAAAGTCAGTTTGGGTGTGGAGCAGAGAGGACTCCACTAAGAGGATTTTGGAGAAGATTGCACAGGAACTGCGACGCAGGGTACCTAGGAGAACTTGCTATTTGGCAGAGAACTGAGAAGAGATGTACGTGTTTTAGATTAGATTACTCCAAGACTGAATCGAAACTGCTGTTCAAGACAGTGCCATGCCAGTTTTAGATGTGGTGACTTCTGCTCTATCATATTAAATGACCATAAAACCTCTGTGTGTCCCGATTACTCTTTTATTAGGAGCTATGAGTGCAGCTGTGTAGATTTTATTTACAGTATTCATTTAAATTTCTCAGGATATGATGCTCTTAGTGTAATTAGGTTTTGCATCCTGACAGACAGAATTAATGGTGAATACTGTATACTTGCATTTTCAAATTTCTTAAATCAAGTGGGGAATGGGAAGGGGTGCAAACATCTGGTGATAAATCACAGATTATGTTTGATTCACATGGTCCCAAAGTTAAATAAATTTATTAAGGACAGGTCCTTCAGGTTACTTAGTCTCCTGACTTATTGAAGCCTTTTGATAAAATATTATTTCTGAAGCTGGACCATGAAAACCTAGCCACAAGAATATAACTTAAAAAATGGCACTTTTATATCCACAACCCTAAGATTTAAAATCTTAATATAAAATAACCTAAAAACCATTTCCAACAATAAGATAAATTCTTGGTATATTTTTTAAACGAGGAAATACTAAGAGCATTAATATCTTCCAAAATTCTTGAGTAAGTTTTTGTAACACTCGACATGCTGACGGAATGGTCTCTACATACCTAAACTCCTGACGCTTAAAATGTTCCTTTTTATCTTTATTTTGAGAACAACGTAATAAATAGGAATACAGAAAATACTAGTTCTCATCGATTTTGACTCAAAAACTTTTCCAGTGCATATACACCCTCTTTCCTGAGACCATCTGCTATCCTCTCTCTGTTTAGGACCTACAAAAGGACTGAAACCAACATGTTTTAAAGGTTGCTAAGAAGTGAGGTGAACACGGTTCTTCATTTGTACCAGCCACGGCAGGAAGTGTGAATGAAGTAGTTGAGTTTTTCCCAGGGGGGTCTGTGGATAGAATTGCTTATTTAAATACCGTGTTTTGTATATGCAATAAGTCCATATTGTATATATTCATAATGCTTCGAGTGAGAATTTGAAAGGAAGAGGTGGGGGGGTGGGTGGAGTGGATTAGATATAATTTCAACTGGAGAAATAAGGAAATCAGGGGGTTTATTCACAAATGCTTAAAGTTGGCTGAAAGGTACTGGGATTATTTGTGGTTGTCCTGAAAAGGAGTTGAGAAGCCTCAGTCCCTCATCTTGTCCTGCTTCTAACACTTTACTCACAGAGAGTGAGGGAAGAAATACAGTGTTTTCTTTTTTTAAACCTCTTTCCCCCCTCCATACACTCACAAACATGATTTCTTATGACTGTGCTGTAATTGTGTGTTCTTCATTATGATTCTGTTACTCCGTTGTCCCTGGGCCTGGTGTGTACAAGAATACCCCATTCTCTTTCTTTCAGAATGCTTCCCATTTAATAAACAAAAAAAATTGTGGGAATTTTGCTGGTACGGGGATGGGCTTGGCAGTGTTCTTTCAACCTGCTTGGAAAAATGTTTTTTTAAAAAAAGACTGCTAACTTTTAAAAGGCATGAGCCACTTAGCAAATTTTCCTAAGTGTCTCCTAGGGCACTGCAGCTTTCCTAATTGAGAATAAATGAGCCCATTTGTAGCAAAATGGACATCAGAACACATAGATGGAATTGGGATTATGTGCATTTATTCTGGGGCTGCTATAGCTACAAATTGTAGGCATGGATTGTTGGGTATGCTCTTTGGCTTGCTGGCATCTCGTTATCCCATTAGCCCACTGTTTCCTTCACTATGGCACATGGCTGGCTGGTGAGCCAGCCTTTAGGGGGATGGGCCTGTTTCTCTCTCTCTCTCTATTTCCCAGTGTCATTTATGGTCATGGGATATGATTAATTCCTCCCTTCCGAAAGGGAAAGGAGACCAATACAGTTCACACGGGTCATTGTACTTAAGTACCTAAACTTGGCTAAACACAACTCAATGGTTGATCCAAATACTGTTTTTCCTTTCTGTAAAGTGGCAAAAACTATTTAAAGGGGACACATGTATCAGGTCTTTTACAGAGACAGCAGAAAAGGCAATTTAAGCAATTTCCCCAAAGTATCCTCTAAAGCAGGAGCCCTCAAACCCATAGGGGGCTGTGCTTTTAAATAACAGCGAATGTGGTACATGCCCAGGCTATACTTTGTCAGGGCTTTAAATATTGGTAGCATGTCGCACAAAGGGGTTTGATTGGGGTGTCAGCTAAAGGGGCCTCAATGACAGTGACTTAGCGCTGGGACTGGGAATGGGATCCCCCAGAGCCCACCTGGACACAGCAGGGCCCTCAGCCCAGGTCTCCACTGCTGGGGGGCGGGTGCGTGAGAACAGCTGAGCTCCAGACCCCGGGCCTCCTGCGGCGCCAAGTCAGGGGACAGGAGGCCCCAGGCCCCTGCTTCGGGTCGCCATGGCAACGAGGCCTGGAATGCCACAGTGGTAGCCTCTTCCTCGGCACATCCGGACTCCCCGTTCTGCTGCTTCAAGTCAATGTCCACAGCAAGGGAGGAACCCCGGAGGAAAATAACCACTCCCTTCTTCCCTTCACCATTGCCTTCCCCCTTGCAAAAAAAAGACAAAGAAAAGAAAAGAAAACTGCATGTGTGAAAGAAACTACAGGCAGTTTTTGGTGCAATTTGAGAGCAACTATTTTGGGTTCTGGTTTTCTCCTCAGAGATTTGTTCGCCTCTTGTAAATCGTTGGCTGCTTTGACGTTGAACTTGATGACATTTCATGTTTTCGTTGTGCTGCTTTTACATCAATTTTGATTTTTTTGTTTCTTTATAATTTTATTATTATTTTAAGAAAATGGCCCCCTTCCCTCCTACCTCTCCCACTCTCCTCAACCAAAGGACTGTTTCCTACTAAGTTTTCTCAGTGTAAGGGAAAGTGTTTCCTTCCAGGTGTGTCCCCAGTTTCTTAGGACTGTCATATGATTGGGCGGGGTCGGGGGTCTGGAAACTTTGGGAGACAAAAGGGAGGGAGGCTTGGGAAAGCCGCTCAGAGCTCAGAGATATTTGGGAAGGGGAGACTGAGTTTAAAATCATGCTTAAGATGTCAGTGGCTCCACCTGTGGTTGATTTAAGTTATATTTGAAAAAGCTAGTTAGAGAACAGAAAGTCGCTGGGCCAAGTCACACCTGTACTTTTTTTTCCCCCTCCTCTGTCTCCAACCTCTTTCTAGGTTCTTCACACACCCCCATTCGGCGTAGTTCCCAGAGAGCTCAAGATGTGTGGCAGTTTTCGGATGGAAGCTCGAGAGCCCTTAAGTTCTGAGAAAATGTGAAGCCCCCCGGGGCGGGGTGGATGTGCCGCCCAGGCCCAGCCGACGTCAGCGTGGTCTGTCATCCTGCTAGTTTGTGATGTTTTCTGACAGTAGCCTCCAAGAAGCCGTTGTGCGAAGACAGAGTCCTGCAGAGTCCTTCCAGCCCAGGCCTGCAGTGCCATTTTATTTATATTTTTTAATAAAAAGTAAAAACAAAAAAACACACCCACATTGGAACAGTGAAGCAGTCCTATATAGAGGGCCCGTGGACCACTGCTGTCCTGAGTGATGTCCCAGCCCTTTTGAAACCAGCCAACCTAATTACCTGTATTGTGGAAATGCGCATGAGTCCCCATCCCCTTGTTTCTATACATTCTATGTTGTCTTTTAAAAAGTGTGCTTAACATTGACACAATAAATGTTGGAGCTTTAGGTGGTGTTTGCT